AGTATAGCTGCTTAGTTGGTCAGTGTGCATTACATGGATGAGGATACAGGGTGAATGCATTGTAGAGTTCTTTTTTCAAGCAGTCTGCCTTGTCTGAGTAACATCATACAGGAGACACTACAGATACACATTTACTTAGACTGCATCCCTGACAAACTGCTGGACCACATCAGACGTGATCTAATTACATCACTAAAATTAATGTGCTCTATGGATATTTTATTTTTCTTTACAGCTGGCTGAGAGGCATCTCCTACCACTGCAAAGGAAGAGGGGGGAGGCTAGATAACATGTTTGGCATGTGAAAGTTTTGAAAATTGACTGAGTTCTAGAACCACAAGTCCTCCCACTACTCAGCAAATGATTCAAAGCCTTCAGTGTGATTTCATCTGTGCAGGCTCTAATCCACTTACTTAATGAAATACATAATTAACATATTATAATTGCAGTAAAGATGGTTTTGACAGAAATCATTTCCCGTATCTAATACCATGGTAATTTAATCTGTTCCCCACTCCCTAACACGACCCTCCGTGATTAAGTTTCATAAGATTTTTTTTCCTGATTGATTGATTCATTTGACGTGTTTAGGCCCTGCTTGGGGTGGATGTCAGTTTGCAGAGAGGCTTGCAGTGTTGTGGCAGATGGTAACAGAAAGGCAGGCTCCCTGTGTGGTCCGATTTCTTTTCCTAGTTTCTAAATGCCCTGTTAATCCAAATATAGTCTAGCTTGATGTACCAAATTGTTTCATGTTTTATATTCTGTCTTAGGGCTATTGTTATTAAACTTTAGAAACAGGATGTGTTAAAATAAGAGTTCTCATTGCTTATTCTGACAAGCTGTTTGACAACAGAACAACATACACTGAAAATCCCACTTTTCTTCTTTTAAAGGGAACGGTCACTTCCCTGCAATTTACACCAATAAATAAAGCAATAAAAATCACCTATTACTTGTAAAACCTCTTTTTCATGTGACGGACCATTTTCTCTTAAATGTATATGAAAGTTTTAATGTTTCACATCACATTCCAGTTCAAACCTGGCATGGCCAGGGCACACATGGCATAGGACGAGGAGAAACAGAAATACGGTTTCTTTTGACCCCCTTTCACCTACTATGGTCAATGACGGAAATGGGCAGAGCCTTCACCTGAGACTGTCTTGGCGCTCAGTTCCAACATAGAACTTAATACAGCAATGTGGATATCTACCTTAAATTAAATTTTTCAGACCTCACAAAATGTATCTATTAAATATAAACATAAACAGACCTTTACAAATCCTGGAAGGTACCATTTCCCATTTGAAGCAAGCTGTATTGTGACTTTAGTATATGACTCCCAGCTTGCAGTGATCCACCACACCAACAAATTCTTTAAGAGTCCAATCACAGGAAAGCAATAGTTCACACAGGTGTAGGCACGTAAAGTAATTTTTTCCCCAACAAAGAATGGCCTACTCAACAAGTACCGTGTTATGCACTGGTGCCCCCCCTCCTGCTGGAAGATGTCAAACCATTGTAGAATGGCTTGACTTCTTTCCTAGGGACAGTCAAGACTACTCCATGCCCTTTCTCTTTGAGTCTGAGAGCTGGGTACAGCACCAGGTGGGACACCCAGAACAATTTTACGGTGCTTTGAGTGTTCCTTTCCTTTCCTATTATTTACAATATGATTTTATCAGTGGTTTACACATGACCACACATGGACAAGAATTATGTAGCAGCAACGTTGTAGCAAAATGTTGCTATTGAGTTTCACAGAATATCTTGAGAAACAACAATTCAAATTTATCCTAACCAGTTCAGACTGAAGGGTTGGTGTGGCAAACCTAGCCACTTACATAATGTCCTTGTATATATCTTGCCATTACTGCATTGCTATTCCTATCTGTGGCCAAACCAGCCACTTAAAGTGTAACCCCCCTGAATGTAATATGATGTAAAGTGTATTCCTGTGTACTGCTTGGTATCTCCTAAGGCAGGAGATGGCTATCTGTAACCCAACCCCCTCCTGCCTGGGACTAAAGGAAGTGTATGGTGTGGAATGCAGACCCCCCTGCGGAGGTCTGTGTTTAAAGGAAACTGTAATAATTTAAAGAGTGTGCCTCAGCCTGGTGAGATGCCAGTGTTTTAACCTCCAAGCTATGTGTCGTCTAGTTCTTAGGAGAAAAGGATTGTAACTACGCTACCTGCATTTTACCTTCATTTTACCTGCTTCATCCTGTCTACCAGCGAAGATACCGTGGATAATACCACTACTCCGCTACAGTTGGCATTTAAGGGGAAGCTTTCTGAAAAATAACCTATATCCTGGTAACCTATTTTCATGTGATGCTCCATTATTATTATTATTGGTATTTATATAGCGCCAGCTTATTCTGCGGCTCTTCATTATTTTTTTAAATGTAATTTAAAGATTTAGCAAATAATATCACAATCCAATTTAGTCAAGGCACATAAAAGGCACACAATGCAAACAAGGAGAAGAAAAAGAAACATTGTTTAATTTCCCTCTCTTCTTGCTCTCTGTTCTTTATGCAGATTGCTACAGAACTTATAACAAAGATTGACAGGGAGCTAACATAGAGGAGCCAAATTTCAGGGTATGGATAGAGGTGTGGATTAAAAAAATTACAAAGTACGACAAATCCGATCCATGGAGGACCCGCCTCGCAAGTTGCAGAACTTAAAGGATCTGCTGCTAATGTCTTGGTGCAAGATACCACAGGGCATGTTCAGGGGCATTGCAGAGTCCATTATAGCTGTTTTAATAGCACGAGGTGGACCTACATGATATTAGGCTTGTGTGTTAATGTGGTGACTGATCAGTGTCTATATAACATATATATATCATATAGGGATTTAGTAAACATAATATTAAACATAATAACAAACATAATATTAAAAACCCTAGGAACAGCTTTTAAGCATAAAAAAAACAAAAAATGGATCTTAATGGCACCTCAGGAAACATGCATCTTCTCTAAAGTGCCCAAACATAGTAAATGGGGTGCTCTCAGGCAATCAATCATTTTAAACATGATATGCACTGGTAGGCTCATACAAAAGTATGACTCTGCCAGAACCTGCCAGATTCAGAAATGTTTTGACAGCGTACACTATCAGTGCACCACAGAACTACTGGTATCATAACTACTACAGTGCGCAGCAGTGGTTTTGGTGCTTAAAGTATCCCTTTAAGTAAAGCTTAAATAAAAGTTGGTGCTAACTAAAAGAGCACCTACAGATTAAAAAAAATATATAAAAATGATTCAATTTGCTTAATTGTAATCATATTGCTCGGGGAGGAATGCATTTTATGTGATTTATTCATTCTCATCTATGGATTTTCTGGCCAGTGACCATAATTATAATTCCATCTGGATTCTGATTGGCTAAACGCACCTATAAGCCAATCAGAAAACAGCAACATAATTTCCCCCCCTCAGGCTCTCCATTCAGCTTCCATTATCTGCTTTCCTTAAAATTAAGGGCTTCATGCTGCAGTAAAACACCAAACAGGAACGTCTCATAAAGTTTACATATGTAAGCATCTCCGTGAGCTGTTTCATATAAAAGCTTTATATATTTAGGCATCACTGACCATTTTACTGTACGACTCCTCGTACAATTTCCTCTCTATTAATATTGTAAAGTGCTGCGGACTATGTTTGCACTATATAAATGCTCATAATAAAAGAAATTATGTATGCACATCACTCCAAGTATTATTTTATTCTGTGCAATTAAAGACAGCTTCACAGAGATGCAAGCTACTGTGAGAGCAGGATAAGATTCCGAGGGGAACACGGCTACATTCCTAACAATGGCCAGGAAACATTGAGTGTTCAGCTTTTACATGAAAAGCTATATGAAAAGTTAAAAGCAGGAACCAAGAGAGTATATCCTATAGCTCAGAGAATGTGTAAAATAGGCTATTTATTGCCCTAAATTCAACAGCTTTAAGTTTAGGCTTTAGTTTTCTATTTGGTAAAAAACCTCTGGTTGTTGATCCACCTCTGACGTTACCCTAAGAAACACAAATGTAGCAGCATTTAAAGGGGAACTGTCAGTTCTCTGGAATTTACATAATAGAATAAAATTATATCATTACCTATAACTTGTGTTACCCGTTTTTATGAGATGTTTTGTTTTCTTTCAAAATTTATATTTAGACAAGGATATGTCACTTCCAGAGAAGTGACTGTTCCTTATTTCTTCAGAGTGATTGATATTACAGAGTTTACCAGGGTGAATAGACATTGAAGGTAAGTGAATAGCTTACTTAAACCTAATTTACTTACACATTTTGGGGGGCTTTACTGCCACACAATGCATTGGGCATGCACACGCACACTCAAGCATGCAACAGAGAAATTAATTTCATGCACATGCAGGACTGGAATTCTCTATTGGAGTGCCATACTCACATATGTACTACGAGTAAAGCACTGCTAGAGTTAACTAATTTACTACTTGGCCGGGCATTGGCTGGAAAAGTATGTAAGTTAAAAAATAAAGAAAGATAATTCATTTAAAGGAAAACTTTTAACACAACCAATAGCTATTCCTTAGTTGTCTTGAAGCCCAGGGAACAGCGAAGTAAGTGGAGTGGTCCTCGACTTAGCTAGGAGGCAGGCAGATGGATCTGAGGGAGTGGTTTAGGGAAGTATGGTAGGGGTGGCCTATAGCCATATAAATAGCGGCCATTTTAAGTAAACCCCCTTTCTAATTTAATCCACACTTACCTGTTGTTGTTGCAGCATGTGGGTGTGGAGCTCTCTCTTTAGTTTTGCAGGTCCCATGGATACGGATTTCGACGTTGAGGCCTTCATTGCTGGTGTCCGAGCGGCCGTAGTGGACCACGGTGTGGCATGGACGCAGGATCGTTGGAGGACCATGATGGGAGCAACAAGACCGGCACAGACCCAGACTCGACGGACGGCTTGGCGGACAAGGCCACCACAAAAACTCAGCCCTGGAGAAGACCGACTGCCATGCCGGAGGAGAGCTCCCGCCAGATTGAATACCGCCATCCAGGATGGAGAGTGGAGCCACCCGGGTACATCCTCGCCAAGCTCGTGAGCGAAACACAAGTGCGGCCACACGCCTCGGAGTTCAGCTGCGAAGTGAGGCTTGAGGCCTGGATCACGTGATGCCAGGAATGTTCCAGGGTGCCCCCAAAGCTCCTAAACTGGTTCCCCATACTTTCAATCAACCCCACTATTCTGCCTTGAGACTGCAGGTAGAGCGTCACAGCACAGAAATAAGTGCGGCCACTATATTTTACAACAGGGTGCCCCATACAAGAAAGGACAACGGGGTGACCTTAGGTCCGCAGGCACATGGGTGGCTATAAATAGCCGCACTCTGGAACAGCTCTCCAGCTCCCAGTATTCCTCATTATATAGCGGGATGGGGGGCATCACTCTCGGCCAAGCTCCAGGAGCTGCTATAGGAGAAGGGACGGCAGCAATGGCAGGGGCTCCCCTAATTATGGCCGGGACTTAGGTCACCAAGTCTCACCTGTGAAGGCTTCGAAACACAGGCGGAGCGCTGCAAGGTCCATCGGGGTGGGGGGGTGGGGGGTGGCTCCCCAGGCAGCTGCGACAGGGACTAATCAACAGACAGAAACGGCCACAAGGGCCAGGACAGCAGGTCAAGCAAAGAGGGGGCTCACGACCAGGGAAGCAGGGAGAGGCCAGGAGGGAAACAACAATAGGCGGGAAGTAAGAAAGGCGGCAAAAGAACAGCTGGCGCCAAACAGAGCATATTCGATGGGGTATATAAAGAAGAAACAGAAAACTAGATGACACACTATGATAAAGACCACAGGTCGAAACGCGTAAGTGTTATTTTTATATATCTTTTATCCTGTTGTATCCATTTTATTTTTTATTAAAGCTAATTTAAGCATCCTATACTCTGAACCTGCATATTATTATTCTGCTGATCCTTGATACCAGCCGAGATACCTGAGAAAGCGGAGTGGATAAACATTCAAAGGGATATCTGAATAAGCTGTTATAGTCAGAGCCTACTATACTTGGCTTTGAAAATTGTGAGTTGGAATTTGACACCTTAAATAAGATTATACCCACTATACAGTATTATGCTATGCATTAGTCTTATATTTAGGTGAAGCATACATAACTTGAAGAACCAGTGTGAATACGTATCAATTTTGTTACCCCTCTGTTATCATACATATCTCTTGTGCCCCCTACCTTTAGTTTTTTAGATTGTTTTGTGTTTTTTAAGTGGTTTTTAAACACTGGGGAAGTCGCACCTATAAGGAGAGCTACTTAGAACACCTCGCCTCACTTGCACTTTGTGTGTTAAGATATTGGATGCTAAACATGGTGAAAGGCCTACCCAAATTGTCGCATTATTCTTCCAGGTCACAAGAACATGAGGCTGTAGACCCCAAAGGAGACAGAACATGGACTCACATTTGATATCCGCTTAGACAGGAAGAAAGCACGGCGGAAGTCAGAAACCAGCCCCAGGAGCCGAATTACTCGGGGTTCGGCATGTGAGTCACAGTCTGCACCACATTCAGGGGATTTCAGAGAGTTTATACAATCATTCATTAACACATGGAGGGTGGGTGCAAAGGACAAGGGTTCTTTTAATAAAGCATGGGTGGAAGGGACGCTGCGGGGAGGAACGAAAAAAAACTGGGTACATTGGGGGGTGCAGTGAGAACGGGTGACAAGGTGGGGCAGGTACTGCGAGCGAGTCGGTTGAATCTTCGTCAGCATCAGTTTTAGTGGAAACAGCAGCTAAACGTGCATGTTTCTTTTGCGGGTCCTTTGGGCTGCCATCTGAAGCCCAAAGTAAAAGATAAGATTTGGAAAGGGGAGTTTGTGGAAATTTTTTCCCTCCTCCCCCTAGAGGAATATTTAGATTTGAAGGAGGAGGATAAGAGGAACACCAATAAGGAGGAGGAAGAGAAGAGGCGTAAGTATAGAAAGATTACTGCTTTCGGTATTTTGGCCAGCGTGTTGGGAGAAAAATCACCTGAGAAATGCTCCCAATTGTTCTGCTATCAAGATGGGGTTTGGGAATCTTACCGCATGTACGGGGGACTAACATGGTGGAGGTATGGTGAGCAGTTCTGCCAGCGTCTGTCGGACAATCCAGGAATGTGTTAGGATTAAATGGACCCAATGTTCTGGATGAAATTAATGATGGCGCAAAAAGCTGCGCCCCTTTATTCAGTAGCTGGCGCCGGTTCCTCTTCCACCTCGTTGGTTATCCATAGGAAGGGATTCTGTTGGTTATTATTCAACGAGGGACAGCGTAAGTGGGGGACAACATGCCGTTTTAAACACAAATGTTCAGGTTGCAGTGGTGGGCACGCCTTTACTCTGTACATTGCTTCAAATGGGGAAAGAATGCTCCAGCAGGAGTCACTGGAGGTGCTGCAGCACCATTCTCTGCCACTGGGGTTCTTGCCGGTGAGGGTCACCGCGATGCTCCCATGGCTAAACAAATACGTTAACCGCAAGGACGCAGTGCTTCTTAGGGATGGGTTCACTTGGGGGTTTGTGATTCCGTTCCAAAAGCGTTTAGTGGTTTGTCGATTAGATAATCTGCGTTCGGTGGAGGAGTTCCCCGAAGTGCAGTGCGACAAATTAAAAAAAGAGGTACAATTGGGATGGCTGGCGGTGCCTTTTTCGGGAACCGCCGATCCAGTATTTCACACTTGGGTGTGGTGTCCAAGAAGGAAGTGGGGAAGTTCACCACCTTTCTTATCCTAAAGGGTCTTCAGTAAATGATGATATCATTGGGGCGCTTTGCTCGGTTTCCAATGCGTCGTTCAACCAAGCGATCTAGTTGGTTAAAAAAGGCGGGTGCGAGGGCAATGATGGCAAAAGCTGATGTTGAATTGGCATTCCGTCTGTTGCCCATTCATCCTGCGTGTCACCATTTACTAGGCTGCTTCTTCGAAGGCAAATATTACATTGATCTTTGTCTGCCCGTGGGTTGTTCCATCTCATGTGCGTACTTTGAAAAATTTAGCACCTTCCTAGAATGGGTGGTTAAGAGGGAGGCAGGCACAAAACTAGTGGTCCATTATTTGGACAACTTTTTATGTGTCGTGCCCTCAAATTCCGACACCTCCAGGATCGGTTTAAAACGCTGGAATTGGTGGCAAACGTCTGCGGAGTACCATTGGCAGGTGAAAAAACAGTGGGGCCTTTGACGTGACTGAGTTTCTTGGGGCTCAAGATCCACACCATGACAGGGGAATGCCGTTTACCCCAAGAAAATTTGGTTGCTCTCAGGGAATTCATTGCAGAGGTTCAGGGGTCTAAGAAAGTGACCTTACGCACGCTGCAGTCGCTGATCGGGCGCTTGAATTTCACATGAATTTCTCCCGGTAGAGAGGGTGTTTAGTAGGTTCTTGGCAAAAGCCACCTGTGGTATACGGGAGCGTGATCATTTTATCAGGGTGTCGAGGCCCATGAAGAAGGACTTGGGAGTTTGGGAATGTTTCTTACGCAAATTTAATGGCCGGGTCTTTTTTTCTGGATAAGGCAGTCCCGTCAATGGAATTGGAGCTGTTCACGGATGCATCTGGCAGTGTTGGCTTTGGCGTCTTCTTCGCCTGACAATGGTGTGCGGAACGTTGGTCTTCACTTTGGGCGTCTAGCATTAGGAATTAGGAAATTTTGGAGCGGTTTCCATTACTGGTGGCCTTGTTGCTATGGGGGCCCACATTGCGGGACAAGAAAATGGTCTTCTTCACTGATAACATGTCAGTAGTGGACGCGGTAAATAACGTGATGGCCACGTCAGTCCCAGTAGTACAGTAGTTCTTCTGTACCCCCACTCGTTTGTGACAAAATAAAAATGGTCAAATTCAAAAAAATAGCAATTTATATATGACCCCTTATGTCTGTCAATCATAGTGACACTACTATACCCATCAAGCAAAGTCTGGTTAACTAGATCTCATTGTTTATCAAACGTTAGTCCTTGTTAAAATTCTCAATTTAAGACAGAGTAGAACCTAGAGTTTAGTGACATCTGCATGGTACTAACACAATTACAATAATGTATATAGCACCAGCATATTCCACACTGCTGTACAACAGGTAAACCAAGACAAAAAAATTGTTCTAACAAAACATTTTTGATATACAAGAACAGTATTCTTCTGCGGAAGAGAGGACCTGATACAGGGGATGCGGCCACAGGCGTCAGGTGGGATCCGGGTAAGTTGTCAAACTGTACTTACATGAATTCTACTAGTTATAATGCTTTGAGTGTTCCTTTAATGCCTCCACAAATCTAACTTATTCAGATTTTCCTTTAATGGAAAGCCAGTAACAAAAAGGTATTCCCTTAACTCTATAAAGACACCCAAATATCACTTATCTCGTGCTAAAGCATTTCAGTCACTTAGAGAATGCAGATGGGGCACCTACACTTTAAGTACATTCTCATGATAATTGTTTTTCATGTAAAGTGCCATATAATCTTGCTATTGTTATTTTAAAGTTTTCATATAAACACAGACTTAATGAAGAACCTTCAAACAAGGAAGGCATGACACTGAGTAATATCCTTATTTTCTTTTTTACTCATCATAAATCATTTTCATGATTCCCTCCAACACATTACATTATATGGTTGCATCAGTTCTAAAAAGCGTTAAGTGGACTGGTATATGTTAATAGTTCACTTAAATATGCATTTGGATATGAAAGATACTCGGATGGCTTACAAAACAGTGTACATTAAGATTTCACATCCTGGTCAGTGAACTAGAGTCAAATGCCTTCCCAAACATTTCCTCCCCTCGGGAGGGGTGGATAGAAGCTTCTGTCTGAATGGCAAGTGTGCACATGGTACAACACATCAGCTGCCAATATGTTCTGAGGCCTCGGTAACTATCCCCAGTCTCTGGGGAGCACTGCCACAGTTCAAGTGAGTATCAAACAGAGAGAAAACAATTTCTGGTGCCAATAATGCAGCACAGATGAAAAATGTTTTAATATTTGAGGCTGGTTTATGGCAGAAGTGATGACAGTGATTGAGTCTATGTCAGCTTTTTTTCCCTTTAAATGTCATCTTTCGTCTGCAAGTTCTCTCTGCTCCAGAGGAATACGAGCCTGATGCAGGCTGTTTGCAGCCATTGATC